GCCCAAGTCTTGCCCACGGGTTTGAATGACGCCGGTGGCAGAGTGATGGGGCGGTAGTTTCTGCTTTCTGCTTTATCACCTTTCTTGTGCATCAACAGGGTGACCCCCTGACCTATCAGCTCACCAAAATTTCCCCATAAGAAACAGCACTGACATATATTTATGATTTTCTGAAACTTCCAGAAAGTATCTTCTAGCGATACCGCCGAGTCTAGTGGCACTATCGAGAACGCAACATCCCCCTCCCCCCCAAAAAAGGAGGGGAAAAAACAAAAAAACAAAGCAGCCTTGGACAGTGGAACCCTCAATTACAAAGCAGCCTTGGACAACCGGTCGGACGTCCTCCCGGGGCAATCTGTGTCAAACGCCAAGAAAAAAAAAAAGAAAAAAACTACGTTATGCAGAAAATCAACCTGAACAACTTTTTTTTTTTTTTTTTTTTTTTTTTTTTTTTAACAAAGGAACAACGTCTTTATAAAACCCGGGAACCAGGCACGGCGTCCCTTACAAAATTAGGTAGGGCCGTCAGTGGGCAAGGTGTCACCGGCCAAGCACATCGAGGACACCACTAGATTTCACCCCACAGCCAACTCCACAACCAACTCCACAGCGCCTACAACTGAAAAGTCAACAAAAACTATCATCAAACTCAGAGTTCATCACCAAGTAATCACAACACTCGTGACAATCCTAATTTAGTGACCCGAATTCCACCGACCATGAAAAAAGCTTCAACCAACCCTCATTCCGCAAACCAGCCAGCAATTATTAGGATTCACCAGTCAAATCGAAGGATGAAGTACGAAGGTCTAAAAGACTGAAACTAATAAGGAATTCGCAACAATCCACCCTTAATACCTAAGTCACATAGACAACCACAACAATTCCAACTGTATACCTTCCCTGAATACCTAATTAACAAAAACAGACACAAAAATTTCAACTCCATACCTTAGTATACGGCCTACAAGCTTATAGATTGCAAAATGTAAAGACTTGTCAGTTCATAATCTAAATTAGGAAATTCAACGTGGTCAAACTTGATGAGCAAGGCAGTTAAGCGAAGACCGTCCGGGACGGCAGGCTCGATGGGGGAGGAAGCATCAAGCCCAACATCTCGGATGATCCCCACTGACCACCCTCAATACCTAACTAACAAAGACAATCACAACGATTCAAAACTCTATACCTTCACTGAATACCGAATTAACAAAAACAGTCACAAAAATGTCAACTCTATACCTTAGTATAGCAAAATTCCTTCTATGCAGAGACTTGTCAGTTCCCAGTCTAAATTACGACATTCAACTCGGTCAAACTTCGATGAGCAAGGCAGTTAAATCACCAGTACCTCCTGAAAGTGCTCCGCGTTAACGGCCAGCCAAAAGTGGAAATCGCGCCGTTTCCACTTGGCTGAATCGGGCCTCCGGGCCCAGGCCCGTTCATCCCAAAATCCATGCCTGTTAACGCGGAGCACTTTCAGGAGGTACTGGTGGTTTAAACCACCAGTGACCGGTAGCACACACTAGTAATGAGGGCTACCGGTAGGACCGTGTGGAGAACCAGCTCAGTGGCAAAAATTGAAAATGCGTCGAATCGGCACGACAGTCATTTCACTACCTAAAACGTTTTTTTTTTCATTTTTTTTGATATTTTTCCTGAAAAGATCATGACGTAATCTACCGGGACACCAATTTTCAGATTTTTTTTCGAATTGGTCTGAATGCAAAAAATCACCGAAGTTGGGGTACTTTTCCGTTCGCCGAAAGCTGCGGAGTGGCAAAAAAATGGAAAAAAAATGGAAAATGCGCCGATTCGGTGCGGCAATAATTTCACTGTCTAAACAATTTTATTTATATTTTTCCTGGAAAGATCACGACCTAATCTACCGGATCCCAAAATTTCAGATTTTTTTTTGTGGATTATTCAGAGCACAAATAATTGCCAAAGTCGGTGCGTGGAAAGTGGGTGACTGGACCTGCTGGTTGCCTGTCGGTCAGCACCCCCCGCCAAATGCGGCCCTAACTCACCAGAACGCTCATTTTCGGCCGGCGAGGGAGACTGGTGGTTTAAGCGAAGACCGTCCTTCCCCCCCCATCAAAACTGAACAGCTTTTGCCTTGGGGACACGTCAAAATTCTTTATCAAATTAAATATATATACAAAATAAAATTAACGACACCCCCAATTGTTTTTTCCTTTTTTCGTGCTCTCAACTGCTGAAAATGGAGTTGCCCGGGCGTGGACGTCTGGGGCCCCCCTGACCGTCGCACCAGGATGTCCTGCCATTGGACAACTGGTAGCCTAGAAAAAAAAATTGAATAAAAGTTGAAGAACAAAAAAAAAAAGAACGCAACTTTTCCAAACAAAGTGCAGAGAGGATTATTCTTGTCGAAGCTGTCATTGAACCTGGCCCGTTATGGCTGGATGGTACACACATGTAACTGTTAGCAAAACAGATCAAGGGCTCGAAAACTGATGAGATCGAGTGAATAAATATGGCACCAGTTTTTGTTGTTGTCGACAACAAAGCCTAGATTCCCGACAATCTGTGAAACCCTGGAAGTACCATGGTGGGCACCGCTAAAAGGAATATTTCCTACATCTCACCTTTTTCTTGACGTAAATGAATAGTTGCTGATTTAAAAAATAATAATAATAATAATAAAAGAAAGGTTCCCTTTATTATCAGGGCCCAGTGCCCAAGGCAAAAATACAATTTGAGCACAAGTTTCAAATTCAGGGGATTTCCGAAATGACGACACATTTCCAATTTGAAATTTTCAATGTTTTCAGCATTCAGTCAGTTGATTTCGAATTTGTGACAAAGGATTTACAGAAGATTGGGTACAACCCTCCCCCTCCCACACACACACACAAAAAA